GAAATGCCACAGCCTACCTGAGTATTGCTGCTGACCATGTCCATCCCTTCATGACCACAGCCTACCTGAGTATTGCTGCTGACCATGTCCATCCCTTTATGACCACAGTGCACCCAGCTTCTAATGAGTACTTCAAGCATAATAAGACACCATGTCACAAAGCTCATATCATCTCAGACTGGTTTCTTGAACATGACCATGAGATCACTGCACTCAAATGGTCTCCACAGTCACCAGACCAGTCACTCAATCCAATAGAGCACCTGTGGGATGTGGTGGAACAGGAGAGTCGCATCATGAAAGTGCAGCTGACAGATCTGCAGCAGCTCTGTTATGCCATCATGTCAACATGGACCAAAGTCTCTTAGAAATGTTTCAAGCACCTTGTTGAATCTATACATCTATACTGTATTTTTTATGTAATACACCCATTTCAGCTTAGGCACAGTTTTGGCATAGTCATATTTTTTTAGCATTGTAACAAGAACACTAATTATTTTGCATCTCAGACATCAAATGATTTTACGATGCTAGCTTCATCATGCAATTTTTATCAAGAACTCCTAATGGCAAGCTGAGTAGCTCATAAATGTCTTGTTTGTAATGAATTTGGGCTGCTTTTATTTAATGTTTTTTTTTTTTTTTTTTACTTCAGTATCGATTACATATTTGTTTAGCTAACCGAAAAGGCAGTGCAGAATCCTCTGGTCAATGTTAGTACCCCACACTTTGTAATGTTGTTTAGTACTTCCTTGCTAACCTGGGGTACCTTTCTCAAATGCATAGTTGGAATCATGCAACTGGACCGTTCCAGCTGTGTAAGCTGGAAATGGGGGCTTTTGGGAAACATACCCCTGAATAGGACTTACCTTCTTAGCCTACTGGTAATAAATAACTTTTCATCAATGGTTTTCGTTTTTTTTTTTCCTCGCCAGGTGCACTTGTGGAAAATGTGCATGCAAACCCCTCAAGAGATGTAAATGTATGTTATAGGTTGTGCAGGTCCATTGGGTTTGAAAGCGGGATGGTGTATGTTAAATTTGGGGGCGTTGTTAAGACAGTTGCATAACAGTCTAGGATTTTTGAATCAGCCCGTTTTACCACCTTCTTTTACATATGTGCGATTTATATTTGAAAGAGGGGACGACAGTGTTTGAGAATAATGGTATGGTATTGGCACTTCCGTGTACCAAATTCTCCTGAGGTGAAATCAGATTTTCATTCTATGGTACCTTTAAGTCAGTTCTGAAGGCAAAAGGGGGTCCAATCCGGTACCAGTGTACCTAATAAAGTGGCCAGTGTGTATAATCAGTATATGACTATCC